TTGGCTGGGGCGGCCTTCTGCAGAGCTCTGTCAGAGAAAACGGACATCGGGAGGCTATGCATGGCCCCCTTGAGCTCTGTTTTCACTGGCAGAGGGGTGCAGGAGGCCGTCCTGGCTGAAAACGGAAAGCTCTGTTTTTTGCTGGCAGATGCACCATGGGCTGGTGCTTTACTGTTTCCAGGGCAGCCCCACGGGCCAGATGGAAACACTCCATGGGCCAGATCTGGCCCACGGGCCTTGACTTTGATACCCCAGGTTTAGATGGATGTATTTCTTTTTAAATATTTTTCTATTTGTCTCTCTAGCTTTATCTAATTTATAATGCCACTTCTTCCTTGCAAGTACTTCCATAGTTTTGCACCTGTTCCTTATTCAGTGCTCACCTTGTTCTGTTCTGTGCTACAGTATATTATGCCACAAAATTTTGAACAGGCTCAGTAGAAGGCAAAATGCTTATGCCACATTTTCAAAGAACAAATGAGATAAAGAACTTCCTCTTCTTGTATTTGTTCCTTTTCTATTAAGTACACATTTGTACTCCTATTCCCTCATCTGAATATTTTTGAATACATTTACCATTTTAACATCAAATTGTATGGATTTGAAATTGTTTTTCCTGCTATAGTAATCAAATGACATTATGTCAACAGTGTCAGTTGGATATATCTTTTTAAAAATTGTCCAGTTGAATGATATGTGCCTATTTAGATGAATACTACATGAAGATTTCATAGTATCACATAATTTTGTTTCTGCTATTGTTTGCTATATGTTATGATAGCCTAATTAATGGAAGCTATTAATACTGATACCAAAACTTTGACATTTTGTCACATAAACTGGATATTTGACTCTTTTTTTTCCAGTGTTGGGACATACATACATTACTATATATTGTTACTTACTTTTCTAACTTCATTTAACTTCAGTAATGTGATCCGTCTGTTCTCACACCTTTCCTTGATTGCATAGGCTAATATATTAATATCAAAGTATTTCATTTTCAAAAAGACTAATCAAAGGTCTTAAGTCTCAGAAGTAGGTCATGAAATAGAATCTAAAACAATCCCACTAATTAAGAGGGTTGTTTTTTTCTGAGTGAAGTGCTAAGAACAAAAGATCAATAAAATAAAAGCCCTTTTCACTGTGGACAAGAGGGAATTAGAAAAGATCCATTTCTACTTTCAGATTTTAAATGCTAGAGGCTGCTGACATTAAAAAAAAAACCAACTGTGAACTGAAAAAATAATTCAAACTAATAGAGTTTAAAATGTTTAAAATATGTATCTATCCAGTAATCTCTGAGTCAGTTGTCAGGTTTTAGGCTTTCTGGCAGAGACATATTGGTTTCTAAACCCATTTAAACATTTTTTCACTTTTCTACATTTTTTTTTATTTTATGTGAGGAACAGGGTCACTGGATGACCCTGTTCCTCGTAGCATTGAGAGAAAAAGTAGCTTTATGCAGGGGGCTGCATAAAGCTACTTTTTCTCTCTGACTTTTTCCCCCCTAGTTTTATTTCCCATTGATTTCAACCATACTGTATCTGTAAATCACCTGCTAGTATCTCTTATCTGAAACAACTGGTTTTTAGAAAGCAGTGAATTTCAAATTGTCTACTTGAAATAATATTGGTAATATTTATATTTGCATATGAGCCTTTCTGTGGATTTCAAACAAAGTTCCATTCGTGATTTAGGTCTCTGCAATATTTTATGACAAGGAAATGAGCTGGCATTCAAAGCAGTACTTAGAACTCCAAACTAAGGCTAGAAACACAGCTGTGTTGTATACAGTACTAACTGGAGACCAGTGCTTCTCTACAAAACTATGTGATCGGACTTAGTTTTTGGGGAGGAAAATAAGCAAAAAGTTAACTATGGCCTTCTGCTGCCTGGAATTTAACTTATTTGAACCTCTTGGAGGGGGAAGCGAAATGAATGCAACTTGTTTCGGAGGAAGGAAAATTCAGCTTTTTTGAAGGGAGTAGAGAAATTAACTCAACCTGTTTTGTGAGGGAGGGTTCATTTGTGCATTGGAGGCTTTGGGGTTTAAAGCCAGTCAGTTACAAGTGCAAGGCTAGCTGGCTACAGTGCTGTCCAGGAAAAGCCCAAGTTTGCTGCCTGTGTTTAATTGCAGGAGGAAGATTGCTTGGCACTGCTGTAGCTCATATTGAGAGAGCTCCTGATGCAAGGTCCTCCTATTCAGCCTGGGCTGGCATAGCACCAAGCAATTTTACTACTTCAAGTGAACATGAAGGAGTTCTTGAGTCACAAAACTGGAGTTTCAGTTACTGGTCACTGAATTTATTATTATTTACTTTTAAAATATAATATCTTACATTTTGTTGTAAGATATTTTAATTTTATTTTCTTAATTTACCCAACTGCATTTTAATCTGGTTTCAGCTACATTCAGGAATGTTGTGTACTACAGCAATGTCTTTGCACAGTATTTGATGCTCACTTTGTTTACTTGTGACTTAAAATGCCAATAATTTTACTGGCACAATTGAATCTTATGATTTATAAGTTTGATATCTGATGCTTGTCTTTTAAATCACTTTTAGGTTTGTTTTTTTTAAACCTATTTATTGGCTTTGAAGAATATCACATAAAAGAACACGTTGATTTTGTAAAACTTGTTTTAAAGGTTTAGTATACAGTTTTTAAAAACTCTTTTTATGTAAGCCCTTAATTCGGCATGGTTGACAAAATGTGAGGGAAGATGATGACTGAGAATGAAGTCAGCTTCAAGAGTTGTTCGAGAGTTTTTATCAGCCTAAGAAGTTTGAACTGATGATTATGGAATTTTCAGATATTTTATGTCATTTCAACTAATACAGATTATCCATATATCTTATAAAATTTTAAAACAACTGTCTTTCTTCAACCCTGCTTTTTTGGCATTCTGATAAAAATGATCTTAAAGAGAAAGATCACTGATGGATATTGGGAACTTATTGGGGGCATCAAGGAGTGACAATGCAATGTTGATGTAACCATTTTATAAAGCAGTAGACAGAGCAGTGAAGATAATGCAGGCAGATTCTGTGGTGATGGTTTAGAAAAGCAGTCTGAGTAAGAAAACTCTCAAAGAAAAAAAATGTTTTAGGAATCCTGAAAATGTTGAGATAAGTTACCGTGTTTCTCATTTAATAAGGCCGGGTCTTATTTTTTTTTGAGCCCCGAAAAAATGGCTAGGCTGTCTTTTCAGGGGTGACTTAATTCCCCCCCCCCCTTGCATCTTTGGGTGGGCAGGTGTCGACGGCTTGGATGTTGACCTCGGCATTGGTGGGGCACTTTGTATCGGGGTCAACGCAGGCAGCACCATATCCGGGTGTGCAACAAAAGTACTTCCTAACGGCAAGCCCCCCCCACCACCACCCCATTTCGCATGTTTTAATATAGGCCTTAATTTGGGGGGAAGGGCTTAATTTCATTTCATGCCTATAAAACATGCTGGGACTTCCTATTGGGGGAGGCCGTATTGTTGGAGAAACAGGGTAGAATTTAAACAGTTCAGTGAAAGGTAGTTGTGTCTAAGATATTTTTCCAAGCTCTAGTATATATTTTGTAAGTTCCTATTTTTGCCTCACTCTCTCATACATTGATACTGAATATTGTTTCAAAGTTGCCAACGTCAATCTTAGCAATTTTTTCTGTTACCTTCAGTTGTATTGGTTGGTATCAGTAATAACAGTAATGTAATAGTAGAACAGCAGCAGCAGCAAATGGGTATTTTGGACATAGGGATAATAAATTTGAATATTTTTATATTATTCTGATAGAGTTTATTCAGAACAAATAAACCTATAGTTGTGGACTAAGCTTTGAGAACACTTAAAATAGATAATGTGCTAATTTTTAGCAGTCTTGCCACTGAATGCATTTATGTTTTTTCTTATTGTATGTAATTTCTATAAAACTGGATTTTCTTCATGGACTTTTTAATAATTTTTTAACTATAAATTAATCCATGTTCTTTCCAAAGAAACTTTTTACTGAAGATAAGATAAAATATTTTTCTGTTAGGAAATACGATAGAAGGAAATAAAAGCAAATCACTATCTCTATTGTGCTAAGTCCAAATTACTGCAGTAAGTATAATTAATACCTAGGAAGAAGAATTCTAATTTACCATGATTGTAAAACTGCAGGGGGAAAACAATCTCTATGGATGATAGATTATATGAGAACACTGAAATAAAAGCACCAAATAGTTCCAATAAATAATAAATAAATAAATAATGCAGACATCTTCTAGTTTAATGTCTGACCTTCAGCTTCAAGGAAACCTGTAGATTAGTATAGCTGACTTAAAATAGCAGGTGTCCCTTTAAGCAGAAGGAATTGCTGAACAGTTTGAATGAGTAAATGTTTTCCTAAGTGCAAAAAAGGACAGATGTTGCATATATATGTAGAGAATTTGTAAAAAAAAACCAATTCTGTTATTGTGTAAAAAAAACATTATTGTGTAACTTATTATAAGCGGTCAAAGTGCAACATAGATATTGGAACAATTAGATTATATACTGTATTTTAAAGGCCACTTTATATACTTTTAATTCATAGTCATAGTTAAAATTGTATTTTATTTGTATATAATTTTTTAAAATAAATTATAAGCTGAGAATCACCAACCATGTTGGTCTAGATGACTTCTTTTAAACTGGCTATTATGTTACAATATTTGGTACTTTTCTGGTATGTGGGTTCATTTTACAAGGATAACCATGCAAATTGTGAATAGCTTCAAAATAAATGATGAAAATCTCATTCAAAACTGTCAACTTACTGTTGTTACACTTATTTTTCCCAACAATTAAATTTTTCAATCAATTAAATAATTACTTGAATACATGTTTATTTCATTTAAATGCAGCTGTAACTCAGAATAACAACATACCTGCCTTTAAGAAATTTAAAATTCTAAATTACAGTTAAGATTAAATAATTGCAATCAAAAGATATATTTCTGATTATTCTTCTTTGAACAGAGCGTGGATCACACTTGCAAGCCTCATTGTATTGAGGTGGGGCTAAGATGAGCATAACCAGCGATGAAGTGAATTTCTTGGTTTATCGTTACCTCCAGGAGTCAGGTAATTACTGTTTTTTTCACAATATAATGTATTTCTCAAACACAAAGTTATTGGCGGTAACAAAATCATCTAAAGTAGATTAAAATAAATATTATGTTAATTGGTTTCTTTGACAGTATTATTTATCCCAGTATAGCTTAATTAATTTTCATACTTTGTTAAGATACAGACACAATACTTCCAATGGGCATAAAGAAATTTGCAAAACTGCTAATAGGATTTATAGGAAGCTCAAAATGAAATGTAACAAAATCATAAGGATGCACTAAAATTTTATACAGTAAAAGAATAAAATATCATTCTGAATCCTAACATCAGAAGGTTCTATGAATGGAAAGGCGTTATTGCAGTCTTCTCAACCTTGGCAACTTTAAGCTGTCTGGACTTCAACTTCCAGAATTCCCAGCTAAACATACTGGCTAGGGGATTCTGGGAGTTGAAGTCCAGACAGCTTGAAACATCCAAAGGCTTTAACGAATACTTGTAAGACAATAAATAATTGTGTTCCATGTATTTTGGTTGATAATTAAATGAGAAACAGCATCTTTCCAGATAACTAGAGATGAAAGTAACTTTTGGAACATACTTTGGAACAATCATAGTAACTTTTGCAACATACTATGATTTTATACTGTTCAACAATGTAAAAACAATTATCATGTTGAACTGGCTTTGGGAAAAATTTAAAAGCCAATTTTATTGGAGTAATAAAAGAATAATATATTTTATCAATCTCATTTGAAACTGTCATTGGTGGTTTTATTTCTTCCATCCCTCAGCTTTTTTTTGAAAGCAGTAGCACAAGTACCGTGTAGCAATTATCAATTTTTATAATTCTAAATTGCCTAAACTTGCGAACATATTAGAACCAATATATTAGCCACTATTGCATATTAGAACCAAGCTATCATCATCATAAAGTAAAACCTTGATACACAAGACAATTCATAGTCCATAGAAAGGGGGTGAAGTCTGTATAATAATATTCATTGTATTTTAGGTCCATTAAGCCAAGGTATCACTGAAATAATAATGTTAATGCTGCAGTAAAGTACTAAAAATTTTTAAAAAGTGAACTGTAATGTTTTTGAAAAGAATAAATTAAAGTTTTTGACTGTGAAAAATAAAGTTCAGCTCTGGTCATTTTATTTTTACAACCTTTTTGTTATTTCAACATGTTCTTCCTTGGCATAACTTGTATAAATTATTCTTTTGAGCAAAGAAAGCAGAAATAATGGATTGGGCTTATAAAATATATCCTTATAGTTTATCTCAGACCAACCCAAACCCATCTTTCAGTCTACAGTCCAAAACAAAAACTGTCAAATGACAGATAATTTCCTGAAATGTGCTATTCCTGATACGTTTATGGTAACTTTACTCGCACCACACAAAAACAACTTTAAAGAAAAAAGGTTTGTTGTTGTGGCAATGCAAGAAACTATAGATTTTATGGATCAGCATACATAGCTCCAGTGAGTAGTGTTTTTGCTACAAATAATTTTACTTTGTGAAGAAGAGATTTCTTTAAAAAATATTAATAAATAATAAATAAAATATAAATAAAAAGGTTAGAAAAATTTAAACAATGCTAGTCTAAAACTTCAGTTTATTCTTTTCAAAAACATTACAATTCACATTTTTAAAAATTTCAGTACTTTGTTGTAGCATATATAAAGTAAATAGAAATATATGTTACTCTTATTTAAATATTGCATAGTTTACAAGACAAACCTAAATGGTTATTCACTGAAGAAAAAAATAGAAAGATAAATGTAACTTAGTGCACTTAAACAATGTACTGAAGATCTGGGAATCCAACAAGTTCAGTCTGCTCTTCCCAAGAGCTTCTCCCAATGTTATTTTTTGAGCAGTCAAACTTCTCCTTTTAAAGCAGTGAGATACTTCTATCAAATAACTGTTCCCAATATCCAAAGGGCATTAACCTTAGGAACCATTGTGATGCAGTATTAGAATGTAGTATTGCAGGCTGACTCTGCCCGCTGCCAGAAGTTCAATTCTGACTGGCTCAAGGTTCCATCCTTTTGAGGTCAGTAAAATGCCCCCAGATTATAGAGCCAGTAAATCACTTAAGAGAGTGCTGTAAAGCAGTATAAATTGGTTTATAAGTGCTATTAGCATACTGCAATGCACTTTCCACAGCCGTTTTGGATGGGCAATTCAAAAAAATACTATGAGAGCTGAGACTGTACCCCTCTGGACAAGGAACCATTGAAATCACACCCTGCTATACTGCATCTTCTATAAGGACTCACAGACTCAATTTATAACACCTTACCTAATATATCCAGGAACTACTGATCTCTTATATGTGCAACTACTGTTATCAGATCAGTACAAATTAGTTTCTTTGAATGTGGCCATATTCTTTATGCTGTCTGCAAGATTAGGCAAACTCCAACTGCCCACTGATAATCCACCACCAATCGTAATATATAATTGTGTCTGTTTTTTATTTTTATTTTTTATTATTGTTTTTAATGCTTTTATTTGTAATGCTGGTCTGTAACCATAATAAAAATGGATTGATAGGAAGATTAAAAAAACACGCTAAACTACCTAGGAAATAGAAAAAATACTATCAGAAAGTAAATAAAACTTAAAACAAAACATTAAAATTAATCTGTTAAAATTACCTATTTTAATGTTTAATGTTATTTATTTTGAACATGTATTGAAGTTAAATGTATTGTAGTTACACTGTACATTCTTGTGGCACTTTCATTACAAAGGTGATTCAGCGTGAACGTTGACAAATTTCATTAATCAACATTTTGAATCTGAGATTCAAACTTTTTTTTTAGCAACAGTGTAAGCTTAGTATAAACAAAGTTCTTCAGCAGAAAGATTTCTGATTTTTGAAATAGAATTAATTTCAAATTAATGTTTTTAACCCCAAAATTAATATCTTTGAAGAACATGGTTCAGCCTAGTAATGTCTAATCAATAAGCCCAAGCAAGTAGCAATGTGCATAATATACGTACCAAGTTCCTTTAAATGTATTATATCTGAAGCATAGAAAGGATGAGAATCAATATTTTTAAAAACATTCTCTCAATGGTCCAGTAATCCCTAGAAAATTGCTTTCTTGAATTAACTAAGCTTTTAGGTTATAAGAAGCATATCAAGCATTTCATAAAGCTAGAACCCATTGATTGGACAATATAAGATACCCCAACTCTAATACACTGCTCAAAAAAATAAAGGGAACACTTAAACAACACAATGTAACTCCAAGTCAATCACACTTCTGTCAAATCAAACTGTCCACTTAGGTAGCAACACTGACTGACGATCAATTTTACATGCTGTTTTGCAAATGGAATAGACAACAAGTGGAAAGCATAGGCAGGTAGCAAGACATCCCCAATAAAGGAGTGGTTCTGCAGGTGGTGACCACAGACCGCTTCTCAGTTCCTATGCTCTCTGGCTGATGGTTTAGTCACTTTTGAATGCTGGCGGTGCTTTCACTCTAGTGGTAGCAATAGACGGAGTCTACAACCCAAACAAGTGGTTCAGGTAGTGCAGCTCATCCGGGATGGCACATCAATGCGAGCTGTGGCAAGAAGGTTTGCTGTGTCTGTCAGCGTAGTGTCCAGAGCATGGAGGCGCTACCAGGAGACAGGCCAGTACATCAGGAGACGTGGAGGAGGCCATAGGAGGCCAACAACCCAGCATCAGGACCGCTACCTCCGCATTTGTGCAAGGAGGGACAGGAGGAGCACTGCCAGAGCCCTGCAAAATGACCCCCAGTGGGCCACAAATGTGCATGTGGCTGCTCAAACGGTCAGAAACAGACTCCATGAGGGTGGTATGAGGGCCCGACGTCCACAGGTGGGGGTTGTGCTTACAGCCCAACACCGTGCAGGACGTTTGGCATTTGCCAGAAAACACCAAGATTGGCAAATTCGCCACTGGCGCCCTGTGCTCTTCACAGATGAAAGCAGGTTCACACTGAGCACATGTGACAGATGTGACAGGGTTTGGAGACGCCATGGAGAATGTTAGGCTGCCTGCAACATCCTCCAGCATGACTGGTTTGGCAGTGGGTCAGTAATGGTGTGGGGTGGCATTTCTTTAGGGGGCCGCACAGCCCTCCATGTGCTCGCCAGAGGTAGCCTGACTGCCATTAGGTACCGAGATGAGATCCTCAGACCCCTTGTGAGACCATATGCTGGTGCGGTTGGCCCTGGGTTCCTCCTAATGCAAGACAATGCTAGACCTCATGTGGCTGGAGTGTGTCAGCAGTTCCTGCAAGACAAAGGCATTGATGCTATGGACTGGCCCGCCCCTTCCCCAGACCTGAATCCAACTGAGCACATCTGGGACATCATGTGTCTCTCCATCCACCAATGCCACATTGCACCACACACTGTCCAAGAGTTGAGGGATGCTTTAGTCCAGGTATGGGAGGAGATCCCTCAGGAGACCATCCGCCACCTCATCAGGAGCATGCCCAGGCATTGTAGGGAGGTCATACAGGCACGTGGAGGCCACACACACTACTGAGCCTCATTTTGACTTGTTTTAAGGACATTACATCAAAGTTGGATCAGCCTGTAGTGTTTTTTTCCACTTTAATTTTGAGTGTAACTCCAAATCCAGACCTCCATGGGTTGTTAAATTTGATTTCCATTGATAATTTTTGTGTGATGTTGTTGTCAGCACATTCAACTATGTAATGAACAAAGTATTTAATAATATTTCATTCATTCAGATCTAGGATGTCTTATTTTTGTGTTCCCTTTATTTTTTTGAGCGGTGTATAATGTTTTATTTATTTATTTATTAAACACATTTTGCCAGAAGTGGTTCTTGGTGGCTTACACCAAATGTGCCACAAAAAAATAAAACAAATATAAGGATGATAAATTTAAAATTCAATTAAAATAATTATACTGTATATCATCTATTTCCCTCTGGAGTTTCAGCAATTGAAATGGTATAAGAATCAAGCTGCATGTATCACATGTTATTA